CTAATTCCCTCCCTTCTCCTTCCCCCATCCCTGTTCTCTGGGTGTGGAACCAGTGGATGGGGAATATCGGGGGCTTCGGTTCGGGAACAGTGGGAAGAAAGCGTGTTTGGAGTTAGACCTGTGGTTCGAGATTCAGCTGTGGGTCCTTAAGCAAATCATTGAACTCGATTGACTCTCAGTTTGTTTCCTCACTAGGAGAAAATTGCCTAATAATATCTTGTTGTGGTGGAATTAAATGAGATCGTACCTTCCACGTGCCACACAAACGAAGAAACTGCAGATCACCTTCAGGGATTCTTTCATATGATTGTTCTTTTCCTAAAGACGACCTCACACCGACCTGGTCTTAACTTTGTATTCAGATTGCAGCCCACAGTGCTAGCTGGCTTGTCACCCCTTCCCCCCAACTCCCCCCTTTAGATAGGATGTCAGAGGGGCAGGGGCAGAATATATTCTGGACACACCATTGCTCTGCATACAGAGATATGCAGAACAGCTCCAGCTCCCACTGGAAGGGCAGGTCACCCGGGAGCTGGGTATGGAACTGGCTGCTTGGGTTGGAACCCTGGCTCCTCTGCCACTTGCCTTGGGCAAGTCATTTAACCTCTCTCCGCCTCAGTCTTCACCATCAGAAGAGTGGGTATAATAATCCTTTCCGTCATAGAAGGTGGTAATAAGTAAATAAGATCATTATAAAATGTTGAGCCCAGTCCTTGGCACAAGGAAGAAGCTGCCTGTTCAATGTGGACTCTTATCATAATAATCGTTATTTTTCATCGTGGCAAAATGTTCTACATAATAAAAGCGCAATATGCAAATCGACTGAACTGCTGAACTGCCAGTCGGCAGGGGGTGGGGCTGGTGAGCAGGTGGCCCCAGGACAGCCAAGGTGTGTGCCAGTGGGCAGAGGGAGGGAATGGTGATGCGGGGTGGGGCAGTGGTGACCAGCAGCGGCAGCTGGTGGTGGCGGCGACCAGCGGAGGCAGAGGGCGAGGTGGGCGGGCGGTTCCCTGATCGGCACATCCGGTCGCCTCCTGCAGAAGAGTGGTCCTAAACCGTCAGTAGGACATCCCCTGAGGACTCCCGGACTGTGAGAGGGCGCAGGCCGGGCTGAGGGACCCCCCCCCCCACCCGCCCCAGTGCACGAATTTTTGTGCACCGGGCCTCTAGTACATAAATTTCCTTCGTTCAGTGTACATTTCAGTAGCGTTAGGCGCATTCACATTGTTGAGCAATGGATCCCCAGAACTTATTGTTGTAATTAAGCCTTGATTGTTGTAGTTATCACTGGGGGGGAATTGACCTCCAGGCCAATTGGCTGTGAGAATCAGCTGTGTCTGCAGTGGGAGAACTTCTGTGCTGGAGTCACCCCTCTGGGGCTAGACTTGCTTCGATGGGGCTTTGGTGCTCACTGAGTCTGCCCCCTGAGTGTGTCTTTTATGGTTCCACGGAGCTGCAAACTGGATGGTCCCACTCTGACCTCTGGGCTTCCTGGCTCCTGGATCTCTAGGGAGGTGCTAATCTAGCCTTTGCCTGAGGCTATCCAGCAAAAGTCTCCCTGCAGGGCTTGGGCGGGGCGGGTCCCACGGGATCAACAGGGCGGGGTTAGCAATTATGGCTGCTCTCAGTCTTGCCCTCAGAGACTCTGCTTCTCAGTGTCCCGTTAATCGCTGCAAGCCCCTCGGAGAGAAAGCTGCCTTCGGGTTCTGACCGATGCCAGACAGTCCCGCTTCTCCCGTATGAGTCTGGGTCCCTAGAGACTCGCCCGGAACTGGAGGTCAGAGCCTGAGACTCCCTCCCGATTGAAAACGACAACCGCGCCCTCAGCCACCAGCCCATTTCCGCATGCACCTCCGCACCTTAGTATTTCACCTCCGCACTGCGCCTCCACCTCCGCACTGCGCCTCCTATGCTTTTCTCTTTCCTTCTAGTTGTAGAATTTCCACTCAGCCAGCCTTCCTGTGGTTCTGGATGCAGTCCGTTCCGTCTTTTAGTTGTATTTTTGAGGTGGTTGTGCGAGGCAGCAATCTCCGGTGTTTACCTATGCCGCCATCTTGGTTTCTCTCCGATCCCCAGAACTTAGAACTTGACTGCGTAAAACTGAAACTTTACCCATTAAACATCGCTCCCTTACCCCACCCCGGGCCCGGGCGCCCTCGCTCTGCGTTCCCCTCTGTGGCTGTGGCTGCTCCCACAGCTCATGTAAGTGGGACCATCTGGTGTTTGTCTTGTGACTGTAACTATTTGCAGTCTTGCCCACCCTGGAAGTTGCTTGCTCTCTCCTTTTTGGCTTCCTGTAAGCTTGTAATTGCCTGCTTAAACCGAGTCTTAATGAATTATTTCCCTTAAGGGAACAGGACCCTCGAAGCGCCATTTCATCCCTTTGAGGAGGACACAGGGAAAGTGAAGGAGGCGTGGGGGGGGCAGGGTGGAGCCTGGCACCCCCCCCCCCCCCCATTCTTGTGAAAATGCAAACGTGACAGCAGGGGGAGAGAAGCGTGCCCCAGGTCCACAGGCTCTATGTTTTTTCTGGGCCATTTTATTTATTTTTTATTTTTTTAACACATTTTCGTACCGCATAGAAATCTCCTAAGACATACGCCAGGGAACGCACGTTTTTGGGCAAACTGCACGTTATTTAAATCATCATAACTACAGATCATAATGCACCTTTAGGGGTTGTGTTTCAGGAATTATAAATATTTTTATTTACGAAAACATTAAACCACTAAAGTTCCTAGGACTTTTCTAACGA